AACTCTCTGTGCTAAAGAAATTCTCTGTGTGACTGTTCTGTGTTGCAGCTTGTGGATTTCTTTGTCTCTGCTGTCTAACAGAGCTGCTGCTGAGTGCAGGATGTGTACACTTATTCAACAAGAATAACAGAGGCTGAATGAGGAGTAAGAGAGAGTTGCTATCTTTGCCTGCACAGGTTGCAGCTGGCTGGTGTAATCCTTACAGGTGCCTCAGTTGTAGCCTCTTTGAAAGTTGAGTCAGGTTTGTGAGATTTGCTCTGTTGCTTGCCATCGATATAGAGATTTTGTTATTTCAGCATGGTTAAACTTTTATTTAGTGGCTCAGAGAGGGAAATGTGGAAGGAAGAAGTAAAAGTTCTTCAGACAGTTGTGAAGATATATTGTTTGACCTGGCTGTTGTAATTTCTTTAGTTGTCAGCACACCATGTCCTGAGAAAAGTTATGCTGATGATGGATCAACAGATGCTTCTGTTTTATTAAACATACTTCTTTGGTTTATATACGGAGAAGTTGGTGGCCACATGATCAGTATAACTACTTTTGTGATCGGCAGACTTGGTTTTTCAACTGGAGTACAGCAGTGTTTTTGTTGTTGCCTGCTACAGATACAGTTTCGAGCCATAGTAGTGAGTGGCTAAATGCTTGCCTGCCAGCCCAAAGTACTTGGGTTCATATCTGAACTGGAGCAGATTTTTTTTTTACTGACATTGCTTCTGATGTTGAGCCAGTCTCAAATAGGTACCAGAAATGTCCTTCAAAGTAACAATGTTCATTGTTCATTTTTTGAAATCATCCTCTTTGCACATCAAATGACATCATCCATCAAGTGATGACTGGTGTGTAAAAAATATGATGTGTTGATGCGCCACTGGCTTGTCCTGGAAGCAAAAGTCAGTTATAAAAAAAAATCCAAGATGATGCAGATTTGAACCCAATACTTTGAGTCAGCTAGCAGGCATCTAATCACTGCTTTCATGTCAGCTAAATGTGGAGAGTACTACCCACCCCAGTACTTTCACCTTCTTTCAGAATCAGATATTTATCTCTAGTATCTGATCTCTCAAACAGAATAAATGTTGGACGTTTATAGCTGTATGATTACAACATAGAATAAATATTTTTTTAAAAAAAGGTTTATCTAAGGTTTATCTCTAACCACAAGATCTCTCATACAAAATAAATGTAAATTTTTCTCTATCTGATCTCCAACTTGAAATAAATACAAGAAGATATTTATTTCTAGTATCTGATCTCTCATGTAAATAGAATAAAGGCAAGAGATTTATCTCTAGCTATTCTCCAACATAGAATATGTCTTAAGAAGAGTTTAATCTGGAGTATCTGATTTCTCGCACATAATAAATTGAGATTTATCTCATCTCTCTCTTATCTGTGACAAAAATAAATATAAGAAGATATTTATCTTCGGGAATCTGAACTGTGCGAATAAGTGCGGATTTATCTCTGATCTATGACATCGAATAAATAACAGATTCATCTCTATCTGATCTCTCACAGAATAAATGTAGATGATTTATCCCTAATTACCTGGGACCAAAAGATGTTAAGATTAGTATAACTGAGCTTATCTGCCAGGACAAATTGTGTGTAGGGGGATAGCTCACTTAATGTCATGCTGTCTTATTCTCTACGGCTGAGAGTGCTGTCCAAATTTTGAAAATTGGGGCATCCATAAGCCAGAGGCCCAAGCCCTAGCAAAGAAAGTTTATTAAAATAATACAACTGGCAGTGATCAACAGGCCACTTGCTATGCCCCCATGGGCGACTTGCTATGCCCCCACGGGCCCTTTGCTAGGCCCCTGTGGGCGACTTGCTATGCCCCCGTCAGGCACTAGTTTATAAGCCCTGCTATATAGTGTACCCTTGCCTGTTCAGGCAGCAGTTCATACCAGTGTAAAAATATTGCTAGCAGACAGCGTGTTTGTATGTGTATATTGTGGTCTTGCATGGATTTACTTGCTGTTCATGTGTAAATCAAAATAAACATTAATTTCATGCCTTCCATTGTTTGGTTGATTTCTTCATTTGTGGATAGAAGTAAAGATGGTGACAGTGGTTGATACCCTTAACTATTTTAGTTCCACTCATATATTATCCATACTCCTATCTGATGAAATTATTACATTAATTAAAAAGTTTATACATTTTCTTCTTCGTCATTTCTTCTTTTACCATCTCAAGTATCGTTGGAGGTTTTTCTTGTTGCCTTCTGGCTGCCTCAAACAGAGACACATTGTGCTGTTTTAGACTTTCTCTGCTAATAGCTTTCCATCCTCTTCTTGGTCAACCTCATGGTCTACTCCCCTCTCATCTTCTGATGTATGTCTTGTATGTCTTGGCAAACCAAGGCATCCTTCTTATCTTCTCATGTATGCCTTGTATATGGCATCCCTCTTATTTTCTGATATTTGCCTTGTATGGTATAGTGTCTCAAGGCGTTCTCTTTAAGTGGCAATCAATTTTATTTGTTACCTTTATTTTTTTTCTCTTATGACTTCATTCTTGATTTCATATTTTCTGGTCACCCCCAGGAATTTACTTTGTACTCATTTGAGGCCTGGCCGACCAGGAAGGCAAGGACAATTTTTAAAATATCCACATCGATGTAAATTTAAATGCAGGACATTTGGGCAAGCATCTAGCCACTATGCTACTGCAGCTCCCGAGTCATGTATGTTGAAACAAGTAAAGCATGTTCAGTTGCTTGGCACTTAACTCTTTGAGTCCCAAAGAACGAATCATACGTTTATAGGTTTCCGCCTCGAGGCCCAATGAACGCAAGATGTGCTGATTTTACATCTCTCTTTGGGCCTCTGATGCTAAACCCCTGGGACTCAAAGAGTTAATGAGTTAAAGAGACAAATGTTGTCATTCATTTCCGAACACACCTGCATAGCCTGGAAAAATTATCAAAAGAACTACCTGAGACCTTTGAAGCAATGCTTGCCAGTCTGCATGGAGCATGCCTGTCTCCACCTTTTTTAACTCTTGAGTCCCAGAGGGTTTAGCATCACAGGCCCAGGGGGTAGTAAAGAAAGTAATAAAATCGGCGGTAGGCACCTATGAACGTATGATACGTTCCTTGTGACTCAAAGAGTTAACATGCTTTCGGTTACAATTACGGCGTGTGTGCAGCTGGTTCTCAAACCAGGAAAAAACTGCTGTGACTGCCTCCAATCTCAAACTATAAGTTGTAGTATCATATGCTTGACTTTGCAGCATTAAGCATCGTCTTTTCACTTTCAAAATGAACTCCAACACACTTCTCCTCTCAACACAGAGCCATTTGTATAGATGATCACATCACCTGGACGGACATTTTCATGAATCAATTCAGGAATTTCTGATTGAGCAGCACCTGATGGCCAATCCTTGTAATTCCGGCCAAGCGTGATTAGAACCCTGCACAAGTCTGCTTTTAGCTCTGACACTTTAACCCACTCCTCTCCTCTCTGCGTTTTTTTTTTTTTTTTTAGCATACAGACCTCTCTAATTTTGTCCTCTGCTTATGCCATTTGAGACTTCTCTTTAATAAACATGTGACCCTAAGCTGTATCTTGGGCTTTATGAAGAATGTCATATTTGTCAGCCGCTACCCTGAGATATGACCTGGTTGGCAACACCTTGAGCCTGGAAAAGACAGCAGTGCAAGAATGTATTGCATACAGACTACTGGGATGCCTCTTGTACATCCTTGAATAATTAATCACTAGCATAGTTAAATTGTGTATGCGTTCAAGCTTCACTAGCTGATCCTTTACGCGCTTAAACATGGCTTAGACCTATGGGTCCACCCTATAAAATATTTAAGAGGGCTGGCCCCTCAACCACCCCCCCCCCCCAATCCCTATGTTTTCTCATGTGTCGGCGCCCCTAATGACCAGCGCCAGGCGGCATGGAATACAAGACCAGGGCTGTCAATGGGACTTTTTAAAAAAACCCAGCTCAACTAAACAAAAACACAAGCAATACATAAGCAAAAAACCAAAAAAACAAACCCCAGAGTGTTAAAAAGTACAAATTTTGGCACTCTTCCGAATACCGGTCCCAAATTATTCACTGCCGAAAAACATCCCTCAGGAGGTTATGTAGTAAAACTGTTTAGGCCATCATGATCAGTTTCCACTTGTGCCGTTATTGCTCGCTGGATATCAATGTTTAGACGTTAAGTTAAGCGCCGTGGGGAGGAAACGTTTTCGATCTATTGAAGCGACGTGGAAAAGAATAGATTTAGATCTATTGTTGTTTAAGCGTCTTGGGGAGGAGTAGAGTTCCATCCATTTAAGCGACGTGAATGATTTTTGATCCATTGTTTACATTACCCATTAGTGCCCTTGCGGGGGTCCAGGGCCAAATATTTTAGGGGAAAGAAAAAATAGATCCACTGCCACACAAAAGTTGTAAAGGGCGACTAATTAGGACTGCTGAAATAGGATGCTTTGGGGCATAGGGCGCAGATATCGCAGCCTAGCTGTAAACCACAACACAACGTGATAACCATTCTTTCAAGGGCGAACGAAAAGAACGAAGTTTACCTACCCGTGACATTATCATTGAGCATCTCACCGCCGCTATCGCAGCCTAGCTGTGAACCACAAGAACAAGCAAAAGGCGCATATTTCACAGCCTAGCTGTAAACCACAACACAACGTGCCAACCGCCCTGTTAAGGGTTAAAAAATGACATCTGCAGGCCCTGAATAGGATTTTTTAACGGTGAATAATTTGGGACCGGTATTCGGAAGAGTGCCCAAATTTTATAGTTACGAAAAAAAGCATTTACCTACTTTTATATAAAGATTTTTTTTTTTTTAATTTCAAAATTCAAACCCAAGGCATCAAACACAACCCCAGATCTGGGGGTAAAATCGCAGCATTGGCAGTCCTGTACAAGACAGTTATTCCGTGAGTTTAGTTCATTTGTAAAGGAATTCAAGGGAAATCACTCTCAAGCCCGCCAGAAGCAGACGAATATAAACAATGGACATTCATCAGATCCAGCGTAATATTTCCAGTGATAATGTCGACTTTTTCAAAGCGCTTCCTGATGCAAAATCAGTGTTAAATATTCGACATCCAAGATCGGGAGACACTGCAATGCACATCGCCTGCAGATGTGGAAGTATTGCCGTATTAAAGTATTTTCTCAACGACCTGCAGGCGAGTACCGAGGTAGTCAACGCTGATGGGAAAAGGCCGCTGCACGACGCAGCGCAATATTCTCAGGAGGGTTCTGTGAGAATTTTACTGGAACATGGGTCCGTGTTAGACCCACTGAAGCGTGCAGATTGGTTTGTTCGCTTTTATCATTTAAACTACAGACAATATATTATATGTAAATATTTTGATCAGAAGTATTTCCCTTTTAAGTCACACTAGGAAAATATTCTGCAAAAATCTAGAGAAAAGACGGCTCTCCTCCGAACTTCTACCCCCGCATTATGGCGGCAACAAATATCCGAACGGGGATCAGTTCTATTAAAAATATGCGAACTTCCGGTGACGAACGAGTCGCGGCAAAACTAGGATTACCTGACACTTTCAAGAGGCGCAACATTGCAGACGATAATGGCAGACGATAATAGCGACGGTTGACACTTTCAAGCGTTTCTGCACACGATACTAGCAGACCATGGACAATTTCGAGACACGCAACATTACTGACGATAAAAGCCACATGGTGGGGAGTCCACGTGCGCCGACGCAGATTAGCGTCGTCGTCCTCAAACTTGTCGGCATGCGCAAAACGCGGTTACACACACCGCCGACAGTATCCCCCACGCCGCTACGCGCGGCGTGGATGGGGGGCTAAACTAGGTGCCTGGGACTCACGAGCAAATTAATTGGAGGAAGTTGCAGGAGACGCAGTAGCTGCTGCTAGTGAGTCCCAGCCATCTAGTTTAGCCCTCATCCGTGCCGCGCGTAGCGGCGCGGGGGATACAGTTGGCGGTGAGGCATAGTCACAGAAACAGGTCCGCAAGTAACATATCACTGAGACCCTGTTAGAGCATTTGTTTCGTTACATGGAGCCGGCATATTTTTAATATAACTGAGCCCCGTACGAAATTTGTTGCCGCCATAATGCGGGGGTAGAAGTTCGGAGGAGAGCCAAAAAGACTAATCGAGCCCCAGCAACCAGGATTTAGGAAACACATGGGATGCACCAGATGCCATTGTTGTTCTCAAACAACTTTTAGAGAAATCAATTGAATTCAACGACACACTCAATTCAGCATTTGACAGAGTAGATAAGAGCAAACTAAGGAAATCTTGAAAAGTTATGGTATGAACATATGTAAAAGCTTATAATACAAGTTTTATAACAACAATGATTGCACTGTTAGAACAAATGGGCACTCAGAACTTTTTGTTCATTATACAGTCTTGAACATGGCAGGGCTGTGTCCTATCTCCCCTACTTTTCATAACTTACTCTCATAACATCTGTAAAGAAACCAACTTGACAAGGATTATAATATACCAAGGAGAAAAAAAGGCTATTCTCCGAATAACGGTCTCAAATTATCAAGGCTAAATAAATACCCTAACAGGGGCTAAATAAATACCCTTACAGGGCCTCAGTGTTTGTTTGTGACTGTGATGCCAGGAAACTGTGCTAAATATTCAGTAAATAACGTCTGACTAGTGCCGCCATGGTAACGTCATGTCCGTGTAAGTTCCATCCATAACCCTTCAATCGATAGTGTCGCGGTTCTACAGTTGTGACAGATTCTGGTGGCCATGTTGTAATTACAATAGTCCTTGCCTTAACCCTAACCTAGGACCCAGGGGAGAAGCTAAACCTAGGACCCAGGGGAGAAGCTAAACCTAGGACCCAGGGGAGAACCTAAAGCTAGGACCCAGGGGAGAAGCTAAACCTAGGACCCAGGGAAAAAGCTAAGCCCAGGACCCAGGGGAGAAACTAAACCAAGCACTCAGTGTTGGAGCTGTTGACACCCTCGATGATACAGGACCGTTATTAGGAGAAGTTTTTCATGTGGTATATTCGCCGGAAATAAGTCAGCATCAGCAATTTAGATACGATTGAGGCCCTGTTAGGGTATTTTCTTAGCCTCGATAATTTTGGACCGTTTTTCGGAGGATATCCGAAAAAGAACCAAAGCAAAACAATTTCATCAAAGAACTACTATTTGCGTTATCATGTCGAAGTATGGTATGAACATGAATCTAATATATAAAATACATCTAATAAACATAGATGGTTGCGCGCCTAAGGCCTTTCCAGTCAAATTCTGTATCCAGGTCTTTCTTGTTCTGCCTCTTCTTCTGAAGCCTGTAGTATTTTTTTATATTTTTTTTTAGAGACAGTTAGATCTTATTACATGCCATTACCATTGCATTTTCGGTCTTTTCACTTTAGTTGTATGTAAGCACCTAAACAAATTCCTTGAGATTGTGCGTTATAGATATGTTTCAAAGTGTAGGTAAGATTTGGGCTAGTTTCATGTTGACCTGGAAATTTTTTATCGGTCATTTTTAGAGTTATAAGCTCTGATTGTTAGATGTTTATCTGAACTTTGATAAGTCTGCATCTTCTTATTGAAAGATGCCTACTTTGGTATACATTTATTCAGTTCTTTCAATGTTTGGGATTGAGGTTACTGTAGGGCAGGAAAAGAAATTCCTGGGAAACCACTGGTGACAGCAGTCTTAAGACATAGAAGGTAGTGCTATATTGGACACATACTGAGCAAAAAACAAGCAGAGAATCACCAAACAGGCACCAAAATGGGAAGTAAAGTGACTGAGGAAATGACGTCCAGAAGAAACAGTAAAACCAGCATTGATGAGAGAGGCCAAAGATGCCGGACTGGATTCCATGTATGGGATTGAAGCCTTTTTGCAGGATAGAATGGAATGGAAAAATAAACTATAAGCTCTCTGTGACAGAGGATGCCATAATTGGATGGTGATTTTGATAATGAAAAGATTCTATTTTTGAAAAGAAAATACACATGTAAGTCATTTTCAAAGAGTAAACTAATGTGTGTGTTTGTTAATCAGCAGTGAGATGTTACTTCTCCCATATCTGTCTAATTTCAGGACTCCTCTGATGCTAGCATGCACCAAACGTTCTGAAAGTATCGTCACCATGCTGCTGAAAGCGGGCGCTGATCCTCGTCTTAGAAACAAAGATGGGTGGAATTCATTTCACATAGCATGCAGGTTGTTTTCTTTATTTCACATAGCATGTGTGTTATTATCTTTATTTCACATAACATTCAGGTTATTATCTTTATTTCACTTAGTGTAAGTTTATGTTAATTTTTTTTAAAGATCTTCAAATGAATACAGGCTGATGATCTTCATTTCAGTTCAGGGCAAAGATCTTTGGTGCAGGATACCAATATTCTACCCATATACTTGAAAAATTGCAGACGTGATAAGAAACAGAATTTCATTTTTACTGTTTTTAACCGACAGGGTCTATTTAATTTTGCTGTACAGTGCAGAGGTATGGGCAGTGAACAAGAAATTTGTATTGAGTCTCTGATGACCATATTTTATTAAAAGAAAAAGTCAGACAAAGAGGTTCTGTAGAGATGGGAAAGAAAAGAGAGTTGCTGATGAACATTTTTTAAAAGAGACAGATGAAATATTTTTGCCATATTAAAAGACATATCACTCGTGTAAAAACTATAATGAAAAGATATAAAACCAAACGTAAAGTAGACCAACAAGCTTAACAGTGTAACAAACATAAACAAACAGTGAATGTTGCAGCTACAGAGCCTTCATCAGCTCGTTACCTTAATCAACAGAACCACATGTACAGATACGAATGCAGAAAATTATTTAACTGATGTATTCCCTTCCCGATAGCAGCTTTTTTGTTACATGGCCTCATAAAAAAAATTATTATTAAGGGCCTCGACCAAGAATATTAGTTGAAACTGTTAACAGTTAAGTTCCCTGGTCGTATTTGTACCAGTGGTAAAAATAAAGCAGTTTTCAAGAGGTTTATGAACTCTGTCGCTAGGGTGACTAGATTTAATGGCTATCACCTCCATGTCGCGGATACCTTGGTAATACTGAGAATTGAAGTGCAGCAGTCTGTAAAAAAAAACTATAGTAGAGAGAAATGTTGAAAGCAAGCAAACAAGAGGCAGACAACAATGCAAGTGGGAGAATAACTTCAGACGATGGATGAACAGCAGTCTGAGAGAATTATATCAAGAGAGAAACAAAAATAAGCCTGTTGGAGATCAATTGCAGCCAACTTTCAGTGTGAAGATGACACCTAATTGATTGATCTGTGTTAGACAGCTGAAGGTTTAAGAACTAAGTGGCTTGATGACAATATGGCTTCATGACGATATACCATAAGATGTCAACCGCACGGAACAGCTTGAAACTGTCCTCACTTGTAATTAATCTCTTTAGTTTTCAGGGGGTCTCCATGACAGAGGGGTCAAGCTGTTTGCCTCATGTTCAGAAGATTGTGGGTTCGTTTCATGGAGGTATCATTTTTGCAAGATGCCCAGAGATATGGAATTTACACGCTTTATGACTGTATGAGACACTCTTGGCAGGCAGCCATTCTGCTGAGAGAGAGAGAGACCAAGCCTTATGGAATTATTGGGCACAGTGGTCAATTCTCTGGACTTTAATTTTAAAGTGTTAATCTTTTGTTTTCATTTTAGAGAAGGTCATCTGGATGTGGTTCTGGCTTTATATGATAGTTGTCCTGATGTCTGGAATACTAAAAGTAATAATCTGAGGACTCCATTACACACAGCAGGTAAAACAGAACTTGAATGTCTTGTCCTTTCTGTTTGAAAGTGAACATCAGATAGTAATTTTAAAACTTTGTTGGTTTGAAAACCAGCATCAGACAGTACTTGAATGTCTTTTCTCTTGTGTTTGAAAGGTGGCATAAGATAGTAATTTGAATATCTAGTGGGTTCTGAGGCCCCATTGAAAAGGATATGGAAAGGGGGATGGACCTACTGCTCTCTAAAAAGCATGTTGTAAAAGTCGACTTACTATGGGTGCTCCTTTGAAGTCGGATTGCATCTCCCTGAGAGGCAAGTAACCAACAGTCTGCATACAAATAAGCTAGATCTGTGAAATGGATGTGCACATAAAACTCAAATTCTGGAACAAGACCAAAGTCTAGAAATGGGCAAACAACCAGATCTTTCTTCCAGAGTTTACAGCAGAGAAAAAAAAATTAGAAGAAGAAAGCCAACATAAGGCAATACCTTGTCTCCTCCAGCTGCAAGATAGAACTTGAATGTCCCCTTTCTTTTGGAAGGCACAATAACACCAATGGGTCACCATCTTCAATTTCCTGAAAAGTAATGATGGCCAGCGTGATATTGACCTTCGAATGCTAGTTGGTCTGTATAAATATGGGGGAAGCACCATATGCTCAGTGTGCTAAATATATAAGAAGGGTGCATTACTTACTACTTGATTCTCTTTAGAGTAAACAAGGCAGGCCAAGAGAGGGATTATGCTGCATCGGCAACACATGGTGTCTACATTACTGCTCATGCTTTGTGGCTGTGGAGAGGAAAAACTTCATACCTGGCCGCATGAGCTCATCACTATGGGCTGTGATTCTCATGCCTCCCTAAAGCACCGTAACACTCTCGTCTGGAAAGAAGAAAAAGTGCCAACAATCATCTGCTTCATCTTTTTCCTTTCTTCTGCGATCACCCTTAAAAGGGAGGTTGTCACATTGTGTTGTGGTTTACAGCTAGGCAGCAAAATCTGCACCTTTTGGCTCAAGACATCCAATTTCAGCAAAGTGCTGTTTGATCGCCATTTGTTACATGCTTGTTGGGGTGACAGTGGGTCTGTTCTTCCCACCCCCTGGAACCCATTCAGGGAGCCAACAACTGTATCCTGAATATTCCTCAAGGCATAGGTAAGGATTTGGCTTCCGGGTCGACCCAGCCTAGAGTGAGTACCGCATGCAGTCTCGGAAAGTAAAGGTGGTTGGCGTGATGCTGACCACATCATCCATCTTGTGCCGATTGGTCTATAAAATGTAGGTCTAGCCCTATATGCCCTATATGCCTTGAGGCGTGGAAAAGGGTCCTTTACTTACTATAAGATATTTTTTTTTAAATAAAGGACCTTTTCCAAACCTTCAGGGTATTGGGAATATATATTTTATAAACCAATATTCAGTCGGTATGTGCTTATGTCAACACCATGCCAGTCGCCTTTATTTCCCAAGATTCTACCTGGTGCCCATTTGAAGGGTTTGACCGGGGAAGCCATTATTTAAAGAAGAAAAAAAGGCTCCTTCCGGACCTGAACCCAGAATCTTCGGATTGCATGTGAGCATCTAGCTGCTATACCACAGCCACTCCCTGTCAAAACTAGAGGTTGACTCATGTGGCAGATATAAAAAGCATAAGCTACCTAACTCAAAATCTTGAGCTAAAAACCTTGAAGTTGACTTCGACTTACACACCAGTTCGACTTGTATGCAGCAACTGATGGTACATTTTTAAATCTCTTCTAGCATTGCATGGCCATAAGGACCTTGTGCTGTGGATGCTGCAGAATTGCCACTATAGAAGAGATGAAAGAGACAGCTGTGGAACCACACCTTTGATGGATGCTTGTAGAGTAGGACATATAGATGTAGCACAGTTATTGATTGAGTACCACATGGTGAGTTCATTATGCTTCCGAAGTTGAATTCTTTCAGCTCTAGGTAGTAATAATTATTACTTTTTTCTGTCATTTATCATCATCATCAAGTGCCTTGCCAGCTGGCGTAGACGTTCATGCATCTTCACAGATCTCTGTCTTTGGTGTTCTGGATCAATTCCACTGATGATATTCCTCCATGCCACTGTCTTAAGCCATCTACCATAATTTCTTGTGGTCTGCCTCTGCCTTTTCTACCAGTGATCTTTCCAGTATTCTCCAGTGCTCCTTTTCTCATCACATGACTAAAGAACTTTGTCTCCTTCTCATTGTTGTATATAATGTTCTACTTTCATTAGCCATTCACAGGCAGTTGTTGTTGGTTATTCTGGCAGTCCAAGGTAGTCACAACATTCTTCTCAAGAACAACATCTCAGTTCCCTCCAAACTCTTCTTTCTGTTTTTAGCAGGTATAATTTAACTCATGACAGCTTTTAATTAGTAAGTATGTTGTCTGTCTTGCAAAAGGCAACATTTACCATAAAATTTTTGTTTTAATACTCTTCTACATACACTTTCTAACATCAGCTTATGTGTTAAATGTTGAATTAAGAATCGACATCACAGCACTCAGGACACTCCCATAAGCGCTCCGTCCCCATCTTCAGAAGCAAGCGAAGAGTTAAAATTCAGATGGTACCAGTGTCTGTCTGATTGTATATCCATCTCACCTTTTCCCTGTGTGTTGAGCGTCAGCCAGAGCCCCTTGTAACTCCTCGCAGTGCCATTTTTCTCAGACCCAAAGGGCCCCCACAATATCCAGCTTGTCATACATCAGTTCACCACCAAGTGGTGCTGAACCGGCCAGTCTGTTTGCCTGCTCATTTCCCAACACATTGGCATGACCTGGAGAAAATATCCAAAGGATGCTAACTACCCGAGACCTTTGAAGTGATATTTGCCACTCTGCACGGAGCACGCCTGTCTTCACCTTTCTCAACATGCTCTGTGAGTCAGTTACAATGACGGCATGTTTTCTAACATCAGCCTAAATATATTTAAAGAAAGTTGCATTCAGTTTTAACTTGTTTACCTTTTTTCCCTTGAAAATATCATTATTAAGCAATTCAGATTGTGTTATCTTTTCTGTGGCTCACTTACTTATGACTTGAATGAGCAGGTTCTCATTATTATTCTGATTATTGCTATATATTTTAACCTTTTCTAACATTACACATTTTCACCCTTAATTCACCTTATCACGAGCAAGTGTAGTTGATATAGCACAGTAAAGATCTCTCTTAATGTTCTAAGTATGTGACAGTGTTTATTCTTTCACCCATTCTGTTGCATCTTCTTCCTATTATACATGTTTATGTTTATTCAAAGGACCAACATCATGGCACACGGGTGTAACCCATAAGTGCTCCGTTCTACTTGTAACTCAAGCCTGAGTCTGAAGAATCTGAGCGCAGTGCATGAACTCCGTAGCACCGGCGAGGGTCCTGAAATACTTTGGGTAGATTTTTAACTCCAAATCTTGCCATGGCAGCGCAATTAGGCTGCTCTTATTTTTCGATTTCCAACTGCCAAGGTAATTTTTACGTGCACAACAATACACACTGGCGTCCGGTCTTACTACCCAGAGACCAGGGGAAATTACTAGAAGTACACGTGAGAAGATCCCAGCCTTCCCCAGGGTTTGAACCCAGGACCTATTATTCAAGAATAAATTTAACTATATTCTTTTTTTCTCTATCAGCTTTCCAATTAGCCACTTTGTTTGGATATCATGACTCCATAAACCTGGCTATCATGCACTTTTCTGATAAAGTAGATGTCATTATTATTTCCATTGTGTAATGACAGCCTCAGCTTACTGATACAAACATCTAATCTCCACTAGACTTCTTTCAAGCAGTGTTATATCTGTGTCTGGATAGTTGATACAAGTCACCTGTTTCATAATGCCACATGTATTAGGGTGCTTCATTGTTTTCTCTCTTTCTGCTTGGCTTTGGAAAGTCTTCATGGCAAAGTGGTCTAGCCGTTTGAATTGCTAGCCGTTTGCATTGCGCTTTGAAGGTTATGGGTTCATTTCATTGACATGTTGTTAAATTCATGAGAGCAAATTTTATGGAGATCTCTGGGGATCATCACTGGAGCTACAGTGTCCGAGCTTTATGTGATGCTTTCACTAGGATCTAGCCATTGTGTGAGGATACTGAGCCATCTGGGTTAGCCTGTTGCAGTGAAACTGATCATTTTGATTTTACTTTACCTTTCTGCTTGGCAGGGACCATAATCTTTAATTCATAAAGTGCATTTAGTCAAAAGCATATGGGATACTTCAATCTACAACTTTCCATTGTGGGTTTTCAGGCCCCATTTTCAGGGTTTGACAAGAATAGACCCACCTAACAAGCATATACTAAGAGTCGACTAATTAGGGATGTTTCCCTTGACGTCGTAGTGCATCTTCCGAGAGATGAGCAACCAACAGTGGTCATCTGTGACTGGCGACGCCAATTCTTTTTTGTTTTTGTTTACTGTTCTTATTTAGCTTCCTGGCAGTTTTGTGTATGCCTGGCTTCATCCTTTTTGATCTGCTATGGAAACTAAAAACATACCTTGCCAGATTTAAATTTAAAAGTTAAAGTCAAGGGATCAACTTCATTCACTTGTTTATCCTTAGTTAGTTAGTCCTTACGGTTCCCGGCATCACAGCAAACAAACTTGGCCCATAGTTGCTTAACCGCCTATACAGCGATTCCAGTCACAAACTGAGTCAGATACGCTGGATACTTCAAGTGAATGCCATAGCCATACAAAGTGTCTCCAGTCAGCAAAACACACAGGATTTGATCTGGCAAACCATAAGGTGTATGCCTCCTTAAACACACTGCGAGACCAGGCGTCTCTGCTAAAAATCAACTTTATTCGACAAATAGCTGGGCAAGTAGATTAAAACTATTCCTAACCATTCTCCACATGTCCTCGGCCAAGTTGCAGCCACAGCCAGTAAATAAATAGCAACTATAGCACACAACTTGTCCCAGGAACACAACTAAGAAAAATACATCACCCATCATTGCCATTATGTACGAATCTGGAACTCAGTCAATAATCGATAATCACAGCTCATAGTGTCGCCAGGAGCACTAAACTCAGTAGCTCCGGCTGCAAACCAGACTTCCACAATCTTGCAGCATCGAAACTGGAGGAAAAACGGCGGCGAGAACAGTCAACATAAGCCAAGTTCTCAGTCGTCATCCATTACCTATCAGTGTCGGAACTAGGGTCTTGTTTATCCTATACAGCTTATTGTGGCTTCACAGTAAGGCTAGCTACCTGCTGTGAGTGTGTCACACAAAGCACGAACATGTAGCTCAAGTGACAGTCCCCAGGTTCTTTGTAAAAACTGCACTAGCGAACTGAACAGCTGATACAAACTCTTAACCTTCAGAGTGCTAGACAAATGGCTTCACCACAGAGACCCCCTCCCATGCCAGATTTGATATGCTTATTGAGAAAATTCTTGCTTTTTGCCATTTTGGATGTTCATTATATCCTTGTTTCATCTGGTATAGGCAGATGTCAGCCTGAAAGACAAAACTGGCAGGCAGGCAATTCATCATGCGGCACAGACAGGAAAGACCAGTGCCATTAAGTTTTTGGTAGAAAAATGTGGCGTGTCTGTCGAGGCCAAATCAGAGCTGACCAAGGAAACTCCATTAGATGTTGCAGTTAAGGTGATTATATGTGCCTTCCTATAAAGGACAGCCATCGTCTATATGTTTGTTAACATAATTTTATGTTTGCAGGGGAGGCCAAGAGAAAACCGCCACACTAAGTTCTCAGTAATACATAAAAAAATTCAATCGCCGTGATGGAGCAGCAAGATGCTCGCTTGCGCATCGGAAGGTCGTGGGTATGTTCCCTGGTGGAGCCTGACATTTTTTCAAAAATTACAATGGCTCTCAGGTCAACCCAGCCTTGAGTGGGTACCGGGTGCAGTGCTGGGAAGTAAAGTCAGCCGGCGTGATGCTGACCACATCACCCATCTTGTGCCAATTGGTCTATAAATTATAGGTCTAGCCCTTAAAGCCTAGAGGTGTTGAAAATGGTCCTTTACTTTTTTTTTTTTTAATACATAAAGGCTTACACTTCATGCCTCACCAGCAGTACACCTCCTCGACTTACGACCTATACAAGTTACGACCATCAGCACTTACGACCAAAAAAAGGGGGTGGGGGCAGGGATAAAGAAAGATAACTACATTAGTAGGGTCAAAAAGTCCTTGAACTGATGCAGTGGAGTACATATTATGTATTATTCACATGTAGAATAATTATATTTACATAAGTAGAATAATTTTATTTTCTGTAAATTTTTGTTCTCCCCATTTGAATAAAAATGTTGAATATATAAGTTTGACTTATGACTAGTTCGACTTAAACCTGTTAGAACAGAACTTGGTCATAAGTTAAGGAGAAATTGTGTCTACTTCGAGATTATCTTTACGATATTATTAGCTTTCTTTTGAGGCATTTGTCTCTTTCAGTACCAGAGATCAGTAGAGTTAGATATTAATCGAAATGTGATGCGTTCCATTGTAGTTAACCAATGCAATCAGAGGAGTGGTTGGCCAGGTGGCTAGAATGCAGGAGTCTCATGCAGGAGATTCGGGTTAGAATCCTCAGTAAGATAATGGTTGGTTAAGCACCTACATATCAGAGGGGGATGAAAGACAGGAAAAGCCATCACAGAAATTTTAAAATTTAGCTGAAACAAAAAATTATTATACATATTCCAGATATTTATTTTCTGATCATTCCTGTGAAAGTCTATAATGCGAGTGAGTAGATGTGTGCACACATGTGAGCCCATTATGTGGGAATCCCGACTTCAGCAAAATCGACAGGAAGAACAAAGAAAATTAAACTGAGGATGTGTACACTAAAGATTGGCAGCTGTGATGGCGTAATTAATTGTGGCAGCTGTGATGGAAATATTTTAATTGTGGCAGATGTAGAACAAAATTTTAATTGTAGCAACAACAAATTAATTGTGATAGTCTTGGTCACAAAGCGGATTGTGTGGTGGTGTACCAGCAAAGAGGCCAAAGTTAATTTCTAAGTTGAATGGGGATGTGTTTTTTGCTACCACTTATTATTGTGGGGTTAACATAGCCTTATAATATGGATATTAGATTATTATCTGAGAAGTAAAAGATAGTGAGGAACAGAGGTAGTCACCTCACTTCATGCATAACCTATAACCGGGGAAAGAAAGAGTGGATTATAGTTACCTAGAAAAGAAAGATTGGATAATAGTTACCTAGCTCTATCTACCATATATTCTTCTTTTAAAGTGTTCACTGGCTTTAAACTCTAGTTGAAAGATCTGGTTGTTCCTCCACTTCTGGACTTTGATCATGTTTCCGGGCTTGAGTTTTGCATGCACATCCATTTCACAGATCAGGCTTACTTCTATTCAGACTGTTGGTTCCTTGCCTCTCAGGCATTCCAACTTGAAAGGAAACTTGTTCGACATGCTTGTTAGATGGGGTCAGTGGGTCTAATCGTCCCCCCCCCCTCCCCAAAATGGGGCTCAAGAACCCACATGGGGTATCCACTATATGAAAAGGAAAGAAAGGGTGATAGTCACTTTATCTCATGTCATACCTAGTGTATGGAGAGAACACACAATGAGTAAGAAAGCCAGATCTCTGTGTGCAGTGTTATAATCTACTATATGGGAAGGAAAGACAATGAGGAAGGGCAGTAGTTATATTACCTCATACCAGAAACCTAACATAGGAAGGAAGGAGACAGCCGTCTGATCTAACATACAGATATTTTTAAGCATCCCTGGTCAAGTGATTAAGCCATATGGCCCATGCTGTGAAGGTTGTCTGTTCATTTTTGAACTGTGTTGTTGAGTTTATAAGTGCAGTATTCAAGGAGATCCCCAGGGATCTTCACCAGAGCTACAGTGTTCATTTGTTGTGTGATTCATTTGGCAGGTGACTGGTCATTCTGAAAAGACAGACATATCATGTGGGATAAACTACAGAGCAATAATGTTGATCCTCTGTTAACCTAGTTCAACTCCTTCAGCACTGTCTCCCCACTAGATTTTTTATGCTGTTGCTGCTCCACTGGATAGTGAATTAATGCGTGACAAGCTAGATGTGTTTGAGAACCTCTGGGAGCAAGCGAACAATGTTGAACTGCAAATAGATCATTACAGTGGGGAGAGAATGGTACAGCGGAGAATAACTGGGACATTGGCCGACACTCTACACTCAGAGGAAAGGCAAAGTGGACATAAAATCAAACTCCTGCTGGTACCATTGGCAGAGGAACACTTTGCTGGCTGTTGAAGATAAGGGTGGGGCACCAAGTGATGTGATGTAAGTTCTTAACACGGCTCTAAGTTTTATACATGTTTAACTCAGCTGTACATGCCTGTTATACATTTAACTAATTTTTTTTTTTTAAACAATAAACAGGAAGGCCAGACCGAAACTGTAGCACTTCTGAGGAGATTGGGTGATAACTTGACATGAAATTCCATGCAGGTATTGATTCTTATTAATTGCTTTGTTTCTTTGAGGAAATCTGTCTTGTTTTCGCTAGGTAATCATTGTGTGTGTGTATATGTATGTATATTAGGAAAACCAAGTTTTTTTCTCTCATTTTTTTAGAGAAATCATTACATCTCTGTTCTGAAAACCAGTGTGTTGTTTTGTGTGTGTACTCATGTGTGCATACCTACCAGTGTGTGTGGAAAGGTGTAAAAGGGGGGGGGGGAAGAATTCATTACATTTCTATTAGGAAATAAATCTGCTTTTTTTTAAATTAGTTAAATATTAAAATTATGTAAACAAATTCAGTCATTTTCGTTTAGTGATCATTGCATTTCTGTTAGGGAATTTATGTTTTAATTCTTCTATCTGCCTGTATGATTTCCAAGGCCCGATTTGGTAAGGGGGATAGACTCACTACCCCCTAACAAGCATGTCATAAAAGGCAACTAATTAGGGGTTTGTACTTCAGAGTCAGAGTTCATATGCCGGAGAGGCCATTAACCAACACTTTGCATGCAAGGAAGCCAGAACTGTAAAATGGATATGCACCAATAATTCAAGTTCTGGAACAAGACAAGTTCGGAAGTGGATAAACATCCAGAAGTTTTCGCTGGAATTTACAGCCATGAATATTAAGAAGAAGAAGATACATCTACTTGTATTTTTTATTTTTTTTAGCTTTTAGCTGAAACATGGGCCCTCAACTAACTCACTTCAAGCCCATCTGTTCTTTACTATCTCATGCCAACCCTTCTTCAGGCAACTCTTATGACATGCATGGTAAGTTTGTGTTACTGTTCTTGGCTTCTTTTCTTGACCCTGCTAACAGAAGGCAGTTAACTCATTCGGCCATACAGCTCGTCAAGCATCTGTTGATTTCTACTGACAGGATATACCTTCCTTCACCCATTTTCTCTCATCCGGTGGCTACATTAATCTACTTTCCCTTCTTTGTTATTTTAACTATCTGTTTAACAGTTAATTTCGGCTTTTTTGGAAGATGCCTTGAAGAGAATGGAACTAGACTTTCCAATGCAAGAATAGCCTTTTCACTAGATGGACAGCATAATTAGCTACAAGAAGTTCTCAGTCAGCGGGAGGTTGTTGGGTTTTGAATTATATGGGAGTTTAAATATATGTTATATCTGCATTATGTCATCATGCTGTCATTGACACTGTCAACATGGACATGGTTTGAGAAAGTATCCATAGTTTGAAAAGGTATCTATCTCATTTAGTCTGAACAAACTCAGAGGGGCAGTCAAAGAAAAACCAATACTGATTGAAATCCCACAGTGCAATAAACAGGTAAAGCTGCAGCCTTGAAGAGAATCTAACTAGGCTTTGCAATGCAAGAAAAGCCTTTTCACTAGATGGAAAACATTATTAGCTACAAGAAGTTGTTAGTCAGAGGGAGGTTGTTGGGTTATAAATTCTGTGGGCATTTAAATAATCGTTTGAAGCGAGATAATTGCACTATATGCCGTCCCATACGACTCCATTTCTCTCCACAGAGCATCTGCTTGCCCGTCAAGAGCTCCACACACAGCAGAAAACTCTGTAGCTCCAGCTTTGATCCCCGGGGATCTCTGAAAGACCTGGACTGGTACTAAAGGACAGGTCTGAACCTCAGCCTTCAAAATGTGAGGCAGTTATGACAGTTTACTCCAGTTTTCTCCTTCTCATAACATGACCAGAGAATGTAGATTTCTTCCGTTGTGGGCAATCAGTTCTCTTTGTGAGTCCGTTTCTTTCAAGACATCTTCATTACTCTTTTTTTCTGTTCTCATCATCATTCATCTATAAAACCACATCTCCGCTACTTCCACATAATTGTTCACCGATCGTCTGACTGTCTGGACTGACTTCAGTATATTACACATGTGCGTAAAAAAGTGACTTTACTTTCTGTATTTACTACTTCTAGGAAAGCATATGAGTGTGGCGGAAGGCTGGGGATTCCTGGTGGGGGCTGGGGGTCCATGAACCTGAGGATTTAAGGTCCCAGAGTTAGTGCAGTCACCATGAATTGTGCAAGTTAGAATTTTCTTTTGTGTGCCTTTGCAAGAGCCGAGCATACTAACCACTCAGCCACATGTGCTAACACACACACATTTTCCACATGTGGACACACACACATTTTCCACATGTGGACACACACAAATTTGCTGTGTGTTTGTACAGAAAAATGTGTCATGTGTACACAGAAAAATATGGCATTTATCAGTAGACAGAAAGTGTGTCATATATTCTAAAGCACGGTGGTGACTCCTGGCCAAGCGATTGACAGAAAACAGTTTTGTATGCCATGCTACACAGTGAAACCTCGATACCAACAGCTGAAAACTTGCCTGCCAGCAATTGTAGAATTGAATTTCGTCCTAACAGATATGTTAGTAAAGCATTGTAACACATACATTGAAATACAAGATTTTGTGTGAATCTTAAGCATGTCATGTATATTATTGTGTGTCTTTTTATTCTAGTTTACCTCCTTCCATATTAATTGACACTAGCTGATCTTGTAATATGTTTTTAGTAACTGTGAGCCACTAAAAAATACAATTTAAAAAAAAACACATATGGAGAATTAATTAACAGTGCATTTATTTTATTAAGGCAACCATTTGAATGACACTTGGTAACATTACATCTGCTGAAATTAAAATACAATTCATGAATTTCTCCATGTCACTTTAGGTAGTCTATACATTGGCATGTGGGAGAATGTTCTGTTTAAAATCAGTCAGAAGCGTTAAACTCCAAATTTGTGTGACCAGCGATAATCCAGAATGAACTCCCATAAAATAACTTGTTCAAAAGGTAGTTCTTAGCAGGGCTGTTTTTCTTCCAGAAAAATAAAAGTTCCAATACAAAATGCCTAGAAAAGGTGTACGCACCACAATGTGCCTACTAACAGTAGTGCTGAAAACATATGCCTAAAATAAGGTGCCAGTGCTCGGTAAGAAAAAAGGGCTACATTTTTAGGAATGTGAACTAAGAATAATAATTAATGAAGATACAATTGTAAATACTTGTCTTGGGTACATTATGAGAAGCGGTAACAACAATATTAAACTATAATTTCATTGGGGGGGGGGGGGGGATATAGAGGAATTCAACGAAAGAAGATTCTGAATAGTCTTACATTATGAAGTGTAGCAGATACACAAGTCAGTTAAAGGAGAGGGCTTTTTATACCAGTGGTGCATCGAGCATATGGCACTTGACTCATTTTTATAGATCAGTCGAGGGATGATGGAGTCAGTGCCTACCTTACCTTCCAGAACATTACCCACCTTTCCTTCCTGGACGTTACCTGATACTTTTTTTGTAAGGCTGATTTGACCTGGGAGTCAAGGTCAGTTTTGAAAGATATCTGCCTCAGTGCACATTTGATCTACTGTGGCTCCCAGTTAATGGCTGCTACTGGAGAATAGATCTTCCACTAGACCAAAAAGTTTCCAAGGAAGCTTGGAATTAAAAGAGTTGGTGCTAGAAATGAGTCAATGAAATACTTTAACCATATTGAAAACAGTGCCACTCTGACAAAAGCTGTACTGGAGGAAATAAAGTCAGGGCAGGTGACAGAGAGGTAGACAGTAATACAAATAAGAAAATAACAAGAGACACATTAACAACAGTTGTTAAAGTATACAGTCACTCATAATGAAATACGGTATTGGAGATCCATTAGTCAATCATCATTGTAGGAAAAGAGGCACCTAATTGATTGAAAGAATAGAATCTGTGAATAGGCATGATTGTTCGTGCCAGGTGGCGAGGCACTTTATAAATGTTTTAAGATCAATCATTCATAGCAAAAATTGGCTGCAGTGAGTCACCAAAACTCAAGTCTGGTCACTCCTTCAGACTGCTGCATGTCCATCTGTTGATGTTAACCCTCCCATTTGTATCGCTGTCCGCCTCTTGTTTTCTTGCCTTCAGCTTGTCTCTCTTATAATATTTTTATAAGGGTATTAACCCTTTCCCCTCATAAATAGAGGGAACTCGGGTAATTGACCCTTATGAATTTATTTTTAAAAATCCTTTAAAAAGTATCTAATTACACAGGTAGTAAATGAAACGTTAGTCTCCCCCCATTCTACACACCGGTACACACTAGCTAACTTCTGATTGGTCAACCTTCAGCCTACCTCACTTCTGATTGGTCAGCCTTGAGCCATCCGACCTTCACACAAAGTGACAGGGGTGTTCCGCAATGCCGTTGATATAGCGTGTTGTATATATTTCACCATGCCAGCGCTTTTAACACTCTAAAAAACATATACAACTGGGTCTAACACACAGCCCTTTTAGAGAGTGACAAAACCTATGTTACAGGCAGTCTCTTTCTCAGAATCAGAACTTAAATGCAAGACAACAACAGAGCGCCACACCCATAACCTCAACCATGGTATTTCAACAAAGTTATAAATGGAACATGACCTACTTCCCGTGGGGAGACTAACAATTGATTGACCCAAACAGTTTTGTTTTAATGTATTTATCTACATGTTCAACATTTTTTAAATATATAAAGGAAGTAATCAATAAACAATAACAACAGAGTGAAGCATTAAATGAAATACATTTTCCGGGGCCTAAAACAAATATATATTTGGTGACTCATGTCATGACCCCGTCACCTCTATCACTGAGGCTTTTGGAAAAATGTTAAGTCAACATGGCTTTGAAAAAAATATAATAGATTTACAAGGAAACCTCTCAGTTCTACATTTAGTTAATATATTCACTAAACACTACACAGGCACACATAACCATGCTTCTGAAGAAAGGTCGCTGCAGAAATGGCGATCTAGGTAAAGTGTTGAAGCATGTCAGTGTTAAAATCATTGGCCGCTAGCTCCAAAAGCCAGGCTTGATGAGAGGGTGTGTTATGTGCAAACAAAGTGCCTGCCATCCTCCACTGTATGGTCACAGTCCTGTTTAGTTTGGTAAGAAGATCTGCATAGTGTCATCCATCAACAGTGTTTTTAGAGATAAGTAATCTCTCAGTAGGACATCTGTGTGTCTGGGAGAAACAGTCAACATAACATTTGCTGAATTCAAGAGCTAATTATGCTGTCCATCTAGTGAAAAGGCTATTCTTGCATTGGAAAGTCTAGTTCCATTCTCTTCAAGGCATCTTCCAAAAAAGCCGAAGTTAACTGTTAAACAGATAGTTAAAATAACAAAGAAGGGAAAGTAGATTAATGTAGCCACCGGATGAGAGAAAATGGGTGAAGGAAGGTATATCCTGTCAGTAGAAATCAACAGATGCTTGACGAGCTGTATGGCCGAATGAGTTAACTGCCTTCTGTTAGCAGGGTCAAGAAAAGAAGCCAAGAACAGTAACACAAACTTACCATGCATGTCATAAGAGTTGACCGAAGAAGGGTTGGCATGAGATAGTAAAGAACAGATGGGCTTGAAGTGAGATAGGGCCCATGTTTCAGCTGAAAGCTAAAAAAAATAAAAAATACAAGTAGATATATCTTCTTCTTCTTAATACTTGGTAAGCATCTTTACACGCAATGGTATGTATAGACAGACAGAGAGATAGAAATGAGAAGCCAACAATGTCACGTAACAGCTTGCTCCAATTTTAAAACACCTTGTTATCCAAATAGAGACAAAACGACTTATAAATACAATATTTATGCTGACTTTAGGTTACCAGTGTCAGACTTTGACATTGACAAAAGAAAACTTACCACCTGTGAGATGAGATGTTTGAGAATGGCTGTGAATAAAACCAGAAGAGATCGAGCAAGAAAGGACGTGATCACAAGAACTGTTGGAACAACACCCATCGTCAAATGTATTGAGAAACAAAGAATGGAAAGGTTTGCCTATCTAATGAGAATGAAACTAACGATGCCAGCAGCAAGAGCGTACAACCTGAAAATCGAAACATCAAGACGCAAGGGCAGACTGAGAAGAAGATATATTGAAGGAGTCACTGGCACCTTGAGACTGCTTAACATCCCCGCATATCAAGCGACTGGGCTTGGCTGCCGATCGTCTGATGAACTGCGACGCCTAGCAGATAACATTTGCTGCAGATTGGATCCTCAGCTTGACAGGTGTTGGAAAGGCAAGGGATTTTCTTTGTTTGTTGGGTTGTTTTAGATTGGGGAATCATAATGGTGAACCTAGGTCACATTTATTGTCATTATGGTTGTCAAAGTATTTCTTTTGATTGGTACTTTCTGAGTATGTATTAACAGCAATAGACCCTTTTTAGTTCTATTCTCTTGTCATCGAGCATAAAATATGACAACCTCACACTTTTCTTTTGTATAAAATTCTGTTAGCTGTTTCTGCATTCTCTTTTGCTGTATGAGCTATCATTTTCCCAGTCCTGACCAATTATTTTCTTCATTCTTACTATACTCTGTGTACAGTCTCAAATCTCGACAGAGCCATTTTTTTTTTAGCAGCCAAAATAAAACAAATTTTAACTGGGGCATAATTAGGAGACAAAACTATTTACACAAAAGAGTAGATCATGAGGCAAACCAAGAAGTAGGTGGGGAAATAATATCCAGGCAGACCTACAAACACTTGGAGTTACCAACTGGAAAGACAAGGAAAGATGACCGGAGATTGGAGGTTTGGGATATGTGCAGCACTAAACCTCAAGAGTTCGGAATGGTGAAGAAGAAGTGTACAAAGGAAAGGAACCAGAAGACACTTGAGTCCACAGGCCCATGTATTCCTGTAAGTTTTTTTTCTCTAGGAAACAGACATTTTTGTCACAACCATGACCTTTGGGCCAGTCTATTATTCCAACAAATGTGTGCAGCACATCAACATCCGGTCAACAAGGTCTAGTATATCATACATCTTAGCAAAAAAAGAAACATATTAAAGAAAGAAACGTGTGTAAAGTTGTACAAATTTTGATTGTGCAAAGTTTCAATTTAAACTTTTACTATGTTGGTATCTCACACATAAGAATGATTACTTATCATTGCAAGCATGGTTGTGATACTCGTTATTTATGTTGAGCTTGCCTTTGTGATTCGTCCGAAACCTACAGCAGAGCAAAATTATTATAATTAACAGTATTACCACCACAGCCAGAAGACACCCAGTAGTCAGCCAGTAGGAAAATTCAGTGTATGTATCTGGGGAAAAAAAACAATGTTAAATTTGTATCTGCCACAATTTTCTATTACAGCAGTGTTAGTAATTAATTAGTTGGTTATTTTCCCCACTCTAAAAATGTTTGCATCCAACATTGTTTATGATTTTTTCCCACTGTAACAGTGTTAGCAATTATTTAATTGTTCATGTTCTTTCCACAGTATAGCAATGTTTGCAGCTGTTTTACTTGTGATTTGTCCCCACTGTAACAATGTTAGCAGCTATTTTTCTTGTGATTTGCTCCCACTGTAACAGTGTTAGCAGCTGGTTCTTTTTTTCCCCTCATTTTAACAGTGCCTAGTAATTATTTTGTGATTTCTTTCTCATTATAATAATGTTATCAACTATTTTATTTATGATTTTTCGCCATTAAAATAATTTTAGTAATTATTTTATTTGTGATTTTTTCCCCCCATTATAAGAGTGTTAAATATCTTTTTATTTGTGATTTTTTTCCAGTTGTAACAATGTTAGAATTTATTAGATTTTTTATTTTTTCCCCATTGTAACAGTGATAGCAATTATTATATTTGTCGTATTTTTTCCCACAGTAACAGTGTTAGCAACTGTTTTTATTTCTGATTGTTTTCAGCATTTAATTTTGTTGTGATTTTTATCCTGTTAAGTTGGCGAATGTTAGAAATTATTTTATCTGTGATTTTGTTTCCCACTTTAGCAGTTTAAGCATTTATTTTATTTGTGACTGTCACGCCATTATAACAGTGTTGGCACTTATTTTATTTATGATTTTATCAAACGTAATAATGTTGGCAGTTGTTTTCCTGGGTGGTCATTTATGTTATTTCTTCTTATTTTTTTTTACAACCTCCCCCCCCCCCCCCCCATTAATGTTATCGTTTATGATTTTATCTTATGATAGTTTGATTGTAGCATATCAGTGACTAATAACTATTCTAAATGCAGCCAAGGGAAACATACCACGAGGCAGCAGGAAAAACTCTAAACCTTACTGGTCGCCTGAACTGGACACTCTGCATTCCAAACTTAGTACCAGGAGGGAAAATATGGAGAAGGATCTAACAGATAAAAATGTAATACTTCATAACAGAGCAAATGCAGCCTTCATCAAAGGGAGAAATAATCAGATGAGGGAAAGCTGGCACAAAAAGACAGCGTCATTTAACCTCGAGAAGGACACTTTACGTCTGTGAAATCTCACAAAAAGCCTGAATGGAGACAAGACAGAAAAAGCCAGAGTTGTACTCCAAACAGACGATGGAACTGTTATTGGCAAGGTAGCAGCAGATGTGCTAGCTGAAACACACCAGAAGGAAACTGAGGTTCATATTCCCATGCAAAGAATAAAAGAAGTACGAAACCAGACCAAGACTTTTCTAGCAGACTCTAGCACAAAAACAACCGAAGCCTGCATGTCAGACAAGTTTACCATGCAAGAGCTGGAAGTTGGAATAGGAGAGTTGAAAATGAAGAAAGCCCCAGTGGCTGACGGCATTACAGACGAATTTCTCTCTCATCTTGGAGACCCAAAAAGCTACAGACCCATCAGCCTTCTTAGTTTTGTAGGAAAATTGATGAAGAAATTAGTAAATAAAAGACTACTGTGGTTCTTGGAGACAAACGCTGTAATCACCACAACACAGACAGGATACAGACAGCACAGAAACACAGAGGACCAGTTGACATATCTGGCACAGGAAATAGAGAATGCCTTCCAGGAGAAAAAAAAAAGTTCTTGCTGTCTTCTTTGACCTCTCTCCTGCTTTCGATACAGTTTGGAAAGAAGGCCTACAACTAAAACTGCTACAGGCAGGAGTTGTGCACAACATGTACAAGTGGATCAAAGACTTTCTTTTCCAACGCAGGGCCAGATTCAGAATTGATGGACACATCGGCAAACTGGCAAAACTAAGAGAAGGAGTTCACCAGGGCAGTGCGATAGCACCAACTTTATTCTTGGTTTACATAAATGATATCACAGCAACCTGCCACCAGCACGTTTTTAATACCCTACATGCCGATGACTTTGCAGTTTGGACAGCCTCTGAATACACTACCACAGCCTCATATCTGTTACAAAAAACTGTGGAAAATGTAGAAGCCTGGACCAAAAAGTTGGGTCTAAAGCTAAATAATTCAAAAACCACAGCATCACTTTTCTCTCTCCCCAAAAAAGAAAAAATCGAAATTTGGATTAAAAAACCAGCTTATTCCACAGACTGACACACCTACCTTTCTTGGCGTTACACTTGATTCGCGACTAACTTGGAAGTCACATGTAGAAGCAGTACAGAGGAAAGCATTCAAGAAGCTTGCAGTGATGAAAAAAATTAGCGGGTACCACATGGGGCGCAAACTCCAGAATTTTAAAACAAGTATATACTGGAGCAGTCAGGCCAGTTATGGAATATGCCTCCACTGCATGGGCTGCAGCAGCCAAGACAACAATGGGAAAACTGGACAAGGTTCAGAATATGGGATTAAGGATTGTTCTCGGAGCCATGAAAACCACCCCCATCAGAGAGATAGAGAAAATAGCAGATACTCAGAAGACAATACAAAACTCTTTTACAGTATGAGAAATTAAAAAGACTTTAAAGTCACCCACTGCATTTTAAATTTCAAGAGAGAACAAAAAACAGACTGAAGCGTCAGAGTTCCAACCACCTTTGCTAGAGAACTGTACAGACAGCACCAAGATCTGCTTGAAAGAGATGTTGCACTGTGCGAAAAACTTAGCTCAGAACCATGGACAAGCAAGCCAGAGAAGGCAAATGTAGTCCTAAAGGTACCAGGGATCACTTCAAAAGATGCCCAGATGGAGACACAACAGAGAACACTGGCTCTTGCTATGCTTGATGAGAAGTATCCAAACACCACTTGGACTCAGGTTTTCACCGACGGCTCTGCTACAGATGCAGTCAGAAAGGGGGGTTTGTGGAATATACATTAAACTCCCCAGCAGTAGAGCAAAAACTCTGTTTCTACCAGCAGGTGACATCTGCACTAACTTCAGAGCTGAGGCAACTGCCCTCCTTTCTGCAGTCCAACATCTCATCACTCAAGAATACAGATGGCACAAAATTGTTATACTTAGTGACTCATTGTCTGTTCTCTAAGCACTATCAAGCAAAAAACAAGACAAACTAACTGCAGATCTAAGGACCAACATCGGCTTACTCTCCAAGGAAGCAGAACTGGTCTTGCAGTGGATACCAGCCCACTGTGGTATTCAAGGAAATGAGAGAGCAGATGAGTTGGCAAAAGCTGGGAGTAATCTTCCACAACCTCATCCACCACACAGCTACAAGGAAACCAAAACAGCGCTAAAGCAGTCTTTTAAGCGGGAGTGGAGAAAGCAGAATGGAGATTACAGACCAGAGAGTGACAGCATAAACAAACTCAACAGGAAAGAACAAACATCAATTTTTAGACTTCGGACAGGACACCGTGGTCTTCGAGCACACCTGTACAGGATAGGCATAAAAGAATCTGCTGCCTGTGATTGAGGAGCAGAAAGACAAACCCCTGAGCACATACTGCAGTACTGCCCTAACCTCTCCCAGCAAAGACTGTGGATCTGGCCCAAGGGAGCCACTTTGCAAGAGAAGCTATGGGGGACCAGTGGCGACCTTAAACGCACAATCCTATTTGTGACCCAGACTGGACTCAATGTTTAGCATGACTGATGTCGAACGCAGAAAAAGAAGTGACTAATAGTTTTTCATAATTTTTTCAATATCTGCAAAATAATCATCATCATGTAGCAGGTTCTTTGTTGACCATCATTGCCATCAGGCCCTGGGCATTTTCTTTGCCTCATGCCAAAGGAGGCTTTTTCACTCCCCTCATGATTTGAAAAAAAAAATATGTTGAGTTTTTTTCTGTTTGTTCCACATTCTTGTTCTTAGGGATTTGATTTTACAGATAAAGTTTTCTGCTTTAGAGGGTAACCAACTCTTCTTTGCACTCACCAGCTATAAACTCTGGCAGAAAGTTCTGGTTGTTCGTCCACTTCCTGACTTTGGTCTTGTTCCAGAACTTGAATGTTTTTGTACACAATCATTTTATATATCTGGTTTGATGTGCAGACTGTTGGTTCCTCACCTATCAGGCAGATGCACTTCAACTTTGAAGGAAATACCCCTAATTAGTTGTCTTCTACAAGCTTTTTAGGGGGACACCGGGTCTAATCTTTGTTCTCTAGAATTGAGCCCACAGACGCTCACTGGGAAACTTGGGTAATCATTTCAGCCTTCCTTATTTGTCTTTTATGAAATGCATAATATGTTACGGCATTACCCTTCTTGGCTTTCCTCAAACCCACAGTGGCATACTGGCAGTGAATATCTCTAACCCTTTCACCCCGATGACGTAAAATTAAAACCAAAGCAAACGAAAGTCCTAACAATTCCATTTATGAACCGAAATACAAAGAATAGGTGACGTTATTAGTAATCACGGGTGCAGCAGAGAATAAACCGACTCACCTTTCTTTGACCATTAAAAACATTTATACGGTGTCTTGATCTCCTAACGCAGTCGCCAGGGCAAGAACTAGTGGTAGTGGGGAGAATATCACGTCATAATTTCTATTAGAAACGCCATTTGTTAACAAGGAAACCCTTTAAATGCTATTTTTCATAAATATAATCAATCCGATCTTTCTTAACATTTGTGCAGGAGCATATAGTATCGGTGCTGGTAGTTGCATTATTCATAAACAAGACACTATAACAGTAAAGCAACATTTATGGGGAATTGAACCCAATCAGAAGTGTAGGTTTTGGGGCCAAAGGTGTTGTTTTTTTTTTAAGTAAATGATCCTTTTCATGTCAGTGGCGCATCGGACATGGTACCAACTTTAGGCTGAGTTTCTTAATCATTAATTTTTTTTTTATCCAACGATGTTGAATCGAGCCTAAGGCCTTTTGACAGGCAGGTAAGCATCTAGCAAATACTGTGCTGCGACTGCCAATGAAAACCTGCGGCCCAAAATAAA